CAAGAATAACAAAAACCCAGGCAGTCAGTCACATGCACAAAAGCGTGAGACATTAAAATTAAAGCTTGGCCAAGACGACACACAAGTGATTGCCCAAAGGCGAGAGAAATAAGATTTGTGCACTCAGCAAGGAATTTATTTAAAATTTTAAGAAATCATCATTTCTGCCAATTTAAAAAATAAATAAAAAATGTATTTTTCTTTCGGGCATGTCTAGAAAAACTCTCTTTTGATGCTGATCAAGAAGATATGAGGTCGGAAATGGCTTCTTCACCGCTTTGGAAGGTAGACTAGATTAGAATTTTATAAAAATACAATTTATTTCTAATTTTTTTTAAGCTGTATCGAGTTGACAGCTTACAGCAATTGAGACGAGCGAACAGGCGATGAACAACGAATAAAGACGACGAGTATAGAAGTCGAGTGAGGATTACAGACGAGTAAGTAAATAACAAGACGACGAGCAAGGATAGTCTAAGTGAGAAACGAGATATGTTAGATTGAAAAACAAAAAAAAAGAATCTATTTTTAGATTGCAATATAGAAATATATGTATATTAACCTATAATATCTTAGGCGAACATATGGGTAATATAAACTTACCCCAAGATATTTCTCGAAATTTCCTTGTATAAATTATTATTCCGTTGTATTCCTTTTAAATTTAAATGAATTATAAAGTTTTTTTTACAATTGAAGCCCTCTAAGACCTTTCTGTTTAATATAAGAAACTGCAATAATTTTTATAAAGGGTTTTGCTGCTATTAATAAAGATATATAGTATAGACACACCACTTAGGTAGGAATATTTTCCGGCAAGCGTACGCTAAATGTCTGTTTTGTGTTTAACTCTGGCCCAAGATGTGCTTAACTTGAGCCGCCCACGCCCACTCCTGGTTCTGGGATGGGATCTGCCCGTCACATCACATCCTTGGGTTACTCCTTCCACGGCGCCCGGGAAACAAGTGTATGTACGTGTTCCGCCGGAAAGCCCAAACATCGCAAAGCCACGACTAGGCAGTTGAGAAATTAAATTCTAGTTACGCCCATGGAATTTAAAAATAGCAAACAATCGGCGGATGGCGAGCCGAGGAGGGGTTTTTGCAGGGACTGAAGGATGCTTGGATGCGGTTCTTGAACGTGTTCAAATTGCCGAAACGCGTCGAAATTATGTTAATGTTGTATGTACGTGTCCCGAAGGCGGCCAACAAATTGAATATGTATTTAAGCTTTAAGACGGGCGAGGGGCGTTTATCGGAACACGTCACTGTTTAATCTATAATTTGGCCCCAATATCTATATCTATATTCTGGCGGAGAAAGTGAGCGGAAAGAAGAGTGAATTTCAACAATTTGGCATCCCATTGTTTGCCCTTGTCATTCTTGCATTTTTTATTCATCCGCCGATATTTTCATACACATATACATATATATGGAAAAAAGCCCGACTGCTGCTTAACAATTCCTGTTCATCTTCTCCGTCACTTTTAATGAGTTTTTGTGCAAGGACTCGCTTTCCCTGCGCATTCCTTTACCCGGAACTTGTTGGCAACAATGTCAGCGAAATTGTCGCCGCTTCTGATAATCAGGCGAGCGTCCGCCCTCGCCAGAGTGGGCGTGGGCGTGGCCATGACGCATTGTCAGCATGATTATAATTTCCATTAAGGCAATTTTGTAGGGCCTGCCATCGGAGTGAGTCGGCCGGGCGAGCCGAGCAAGTCATATTGAACTAATTTGCATTACAAGGCGAGAAGCAGTAAAACCCAAAAGTCGAGTTCATCGGAGTAGGAGAAGCGGACGAATGAAAGCCGGAGAAAACATCCTTCGAGTTTATTTTTTGGGTATAGCCTTGAATCTGGAACATAAGCTACAAAACAAGCACAGTGACTGAGAGTTTCTGACACGACGGGTGGTGGTTAAAATATAGAATTTAGGGCGCTGTCTTACCTTAAATGGTTGCGTTTAAAAGGCCTAGAGTCCTTATGCAACAAATTAAAATAAAGTGATCCTTTTGTTAGAATATAATAGGTCTTAAGTATTTAAATTTTAAATTGTGCAATTTTGTGTCTATAAATATAGGCTTCCAGATTTTTGAGAAGGATTTCTACTGGGTCTTTTCTGTCTGCTCACTGATTCTGTATGTAAATCTCTAGCAGAAAACAAATCTGGCATAATGACACTCAGTATAACAGTAAAATCTTGTGGGTTTTCTGACCTTAAAATATGTTTGCGGTTGAATATAAAGGCATATAAATCAAGCTAATAATACAAATTTAAAAGAGCCTTTAGAAACCCTTAAATAAGCTCCTAAAAGCCTTTAAAATTAATTAGTATAATAATATATTTTTATAATATAATATATATAATTTTAAACCTTAATTTAATTGTAGCAATTTAATTTACAATTGAAAAATCTATATAGATTAAGTTTTTCTCTTGTAATTATCCTTTTTATTAAAATTATCTTTATAGTAACTCTGTTTTATTTATTAAAACTTGTTTGTATTGTCAACAAAGTTGTGTAAAATCAAAGATTGCTTCACAGCAAATATCATACTAATCCCAAGGATACACCTTGGCCATCCAACGAACCCTTTTAAGGGTTCGAACAAGAACAACAAAATTTTGCAACACCTCCGATGGGTGACGGTCGGTTATGGATAAATCGAGACAAAAGACAAGACAGCATGCTGACACTCAAGACATCACATCGCACATACGCCACGTGGTCCCAGAACTCCAGCCGAGACAGGAACTCAAGTTCCGGTGCGGGAGGGCTGGGAGGCGAGCGTGTATGTAAATGATTTAGCTGTCCAAAAAGTTTGGCGAAGCCAGCGAAAACAACAGCCGAGAAATGTGGCAAACGAGCAAGCGAAAACTATGAAATATGCGAAGCATGTGCAGACAATTTGGCCATAACCTTTGACAAGGCATCAGGACATCAGGATGGATTGTGGGGCGTGGCCAAGGTGGCAGGGGGGAATAAGTTTTGATGGGACGTAAGTTTTCAATTGCCGTGGCAGGAATGTGAGGAACGAGACATTGATGAGGCCAGAGAAGAGCACCAACAAATTGAAAACGAGTTGTGATAAATCAGGCAAAGAGCAGAGCGAGTTCGGAGGATGCCCAAGCGAAAAGTGCGCTGTCACTTAACATGGCTAATCATTCCAAGGATCAACTTTTTCAACATTCAAAGTTGGCCAACTAGAGGCGGAGGATAGTTATAACATTGCCTTTTACTGCTGTTAGCTGCTGCTGCAGCATTTTAATTAAAATTAATGCGCCATAAGCTTTAAATTAATGCCACTTCTTTGCCCTAGAGCCTCTTCGCAAGGCAACCATAAAAGAGGCATTATTGCATGCGTGCGGGTTTCTGTAGATGTGGCTGGAGGGATAGACCCATATAGTCGGGACTAGTATGTGTGCCGAGCTCCCGTCCCAGCCGCTTATTGTCCTCATTCGCATCGCATAAATAAGGGCTCAGGCAGAATCCAGCCATCCGGTTGTCGGGATTGTCGCTGCTCGAAAACCACATCCCAGATCCTGCCCTGCGAATCACCCAAGTAAATTCGACATAGCAATTTGTCCGGGCGGCCAATTAGTTTATTTTATTGCAGTTTATAAGCGGAAAAATATGTAGATGAGTATTAATTCTAATTTACATGCCCAGGCCTATCTAATAAAGCCCCAAAATTCGCAGTTGACCCAGTCTGGGGGTCATAAATTAGAGTGAGGATTTACAAGGACAACATATGCACCTAGTTAGGTCTATATATTTTTGTAAAAGTAATTTATATAACTATATAATGCTTTTAGATACTCATATTATGGATATATGAAAACAAATAATAGTATTTGAAATATTAGCTTGGCTGCGAACTAAATTTTGCAGAGCCTTTGTTACACAAAATGTCCATGAATGCAAAATCATTCTCCCAGTTTAACTCTTACATAATGCACTGTTTCAGTTTCAGTACACATTTTTGGCATTCTACTTTCGCAACCCGAACACCAACATGCACAGACAATTAAATTATGAATATTTATAAACAGTTGGCCCATAAATCTAATCATCTAGAAAGCATTCGCGCAGCAGCAGGAAAGATAATGGACAGGCAGCCCAGAATGATACATTTGGTGGCTGGAGGGAAGAAGGAATTTCTACTGTTTAAAATTATGCAAAGTGCAAATAATAGTTATCAGGCAGTTTTCGAGGGGACAGGCAAAATTAGCCTAATTGAAAGTGCAGTTTGCAGAGCTCAAAACGTCAAGTACCCAAGGTTCCAGTGTGAAGGGATATAGGGAGACAAGTCAGGAGACTGACATGTGAATGATGGCAATGCCTGTGGTCGATGTCACTATGATGATGATGTCGGGCCGGTTGCATAATCAATTTAGTAAATTAATCCGTTCCCAGGCAGCAGATCTGCTCCTCGGGGCGTATGCGTGATGCTAGCAAGAGCTGCTCCTATACGACATACGGGGTCAAGCTTCGTTGGCTTTGCTGCGGCTAATTGGAAAACAAGTGGCAGAGTTTATTAAATTGCCACTAAAAAAACTGACCGAATTTTTATAAACTTTTCTTTCCCACAAATTAAAAATGTTTACCCACAGCTACTAAAGCAAAGCCAACAAATTTCACAGCAGACCTTAAAGATTTCACGAGATGAGAGATAGTCTGGCTTGCGCTGATATAATCTGGATTATAAAATACTCTCTCCTAAAATATAATATTTATGAGCCAATAAAGTAGTGTTCTAAGAGAAAGGATTAGTATTCTATAATTGAAGTGACAAATGCAGTTTGTGGATTATTGTCTTTTAGACTATAAATCATATTTTGCTTTTATGGCTGTGGCATTTAAATTGCATCTGTTTTGTTTGTTTAATAACAAAATATTTTATATACTTTTGTTATTTTGTTTTTCCTAAGTAACTATCCATTCCTCAGGGGTTTAAATTCAGAAAGAATACCAGGCAAAAGTCAAATCGTAAAGATCTGGGAAATTTCATTCACACACAACATCAAGCACATACAGTAAAGCCCCATTTACATTTCTCTCCGCTGTGTGCTTGGAGATTCCAAAATCACGCACTGGAAAGCATGGCAGATGCGGACAAGGGCCTTGCCAAGGACAAGGGGCATTGCCAAGGTCGTCCACACTGCCATCCACATACCTCCAAGCAACAACATGACCGCAAAGAGCAACCAGCACCAGAGTCTTCGGCTGCAGCCACCAAGCCACAGCCCACCAGGAACCACCAGCAACGCCAGCGTCGGAACGGTCGGCCAGGGTCCACTCGATATGTGGCGGCTCCGTCGGCCACACAGCCACTGCCGAACATTGTGGTTGCGGGAAAGTACCGCCTGCTGAGTCGCATTGGCCAGGGCTCCTTCGGCGAACTGTACCGCGCCGAGGGCCTCAAGTACGGCGAGCTGGTGGCCGTCAAGCTGGAGAGGGCCGCGGTGAAGCACCCGCTGCTGGCGCGCGAAGCCAGGATCTACGGCATCCTGCAGGGCGGAGTGGGCATACCCCACATGCGGCACTACGGCACCGAGGGCGAGTTCAATGTCATGGTGCTCGATCTGCTGGGGCCCACGCTGGAGGACATGCTCAATTTGTGCTCCCGGACCTTCAGCATGAAGACCATCTTGATGCTGGCTGATCAGATCCTGATCCGCGTGGAGTATCTGCACCTGAAGTGTTTCGTTCATCGCGACATCAAGCCGGATAACTTCCTGATGGGCCGGGGCCGCCATACTACCCAGGTCTTTATGATAGACTTTGGCCTGGCCAAGAAGTATTTCAGTCAGAGCTCTCAGCTGCACATCGAGTATACCGAGAACAAGGAGCTGGTGGGCACGGCCCGCTATGCTAGCGTTCGGGCCCACTACGCCGAGCAGGGTCGTCGAGACGATCTAGAATCCGTGGGCTACCTGCTGCTCTACTTCCGACGCGGTCGCCTTCCCTGGCAAGGCATCCGGGCGGCGTCTGAGGTCCAGAAGTACGAACGGATCGCCGAGTGCAAGGCCTCCGTTCCGATTGATGTTCTCTGCTCCGGCCTGCCCATGGAGTTCTTTCTGTACCTGAAGTACTGCCGGAATCTGCCCTTCGAGCAGAAGCCCGACTATGTCTTCCTCCGTCAGCTGTTCAAGACTGTCTTTCGGAATCAGTACAAGAGGTTCGATTTCCAATACGACTGGGACCTGAAGCGCCAAAAGCAGGCTCAATACCCGAAACAGGACGATTCCCGGGGTCAGAGGGCTAGGGAGGGGCATCGCAATGAAGAAACAGATCGAGATTTGAACCGGAAAGTGGACAAGGGCAGGAGAGAGACAGGGAAAAGAAACCCAGAGCGGGATCGCGAGCGGGAGAAAGAGCGGAATCTGGCCACCGATCGCTATGGGCACAGGCCCAGAGAGATGGGACGCGCAGGCTACACCCACAGAGAGCGGGGCCATGACAGAGATCGAGATCGAGCACGGGATCGACATAGGGAGCGATGTCCTAAGGACAAGACCCATAACTGTTCGCACAGTTCCTGTTCCTTTCATCGTCAACAGCAGCGCCTACGCGACCAACAACTGGGACTGGCGACGGAGCGCAGCAGGCATGTCCGGGAGGAGCCGCAGTCCTCCCATCGGCAGCCGCCGCCTGGCCTTTAATATTATGAGGTTCGCACATGTGCCTGTTTCCATGTGTTTTGTTAATTAACTGCCGGGCAACTATATTTAGCATGACTTAACCGTTTACCCATCTCCGATCCTTTGTTCGGCCAATCAATGGCTCGCATAATTGGCACACAACGAGGCCAGCTGGCAAACAATAAGCAAACTTTGCCCAGCGTCCTGAGAGAAGAAAATGATACCCTGGCGCTGCGCAGGATGTTACATTACTCTCGCCTTGTTCGTCTCTATGAAAGGGCCATTCAATAACATAAGATTGGAGAACTTTTTACCACACACATTGCTTTTAAAAAGCAATGCACAAAATACACTCTATTGAGATTATATTTTATAACTGAAAGGGAAAGCTCCCTTTTGTTTTTAAAGTTTGTTGATGCAACTAATAAAAATCAACAAAATATTAACAGGAATCTAATCTTTTCTAATCTAATAAACATGTTTTTCACTTTTGCCACTTCGAATACTAAAGGAACCCGAGCAACCTACTTGGTGTTTATAAAATGTAATATGCCCAAATTGCTTTCTCTAAAACTACTTCTCCTTTCACGATAACGTCCCACAATATATCCTGATTGTTGCTGGCGGTACCAACGCCTTGAGCATGAGAAAGCTTCCCGGCTAAGTGTAACGTACATGTCAGTCTTTAGCAGGCAGGATATTAATAAAAGGGTTAATTATAAGGCCAGTCAGGACACGTTACGGGAACCCGACATGACTCGAGGATGTGTGGTGGCAGCGGCAGGCGAAAGCTGAGACCGGAGCTCATATAAAAGATTCCCCCAGTGGCTTGCAAGAAAATAGGGTCAGGCCATCCCAGGCAAAGTAGTTTGCTTAGTCGCGCTGCAATAATGTGGACTATATCCATAGACCACCCACACCCACACCCGCACCCGGACACACACAACGTCGCAGATGGCGAGTTAACTATTTGCTTGCCCAAAGCGATTTTGGCCGAAAGCCCCGAGTCCTGCGGCGATGATGAGATGGGCCAGTGGTGGGAGTATGAGTGTGAGTGGGCATAAATCTATAAATAACTCGCCTGACTTTGGCATACACAAAGCCAAAAATATAAATCTTAGGTGGGCATTTTTAGTCCAAAAAAATTGTTACTTTTAAAGAAAATTATCTAAAAATAAAGAATTTTTAAAATCTATTTTTAAATGGTTTTAATTTCCGACTTGTACAATTTTAATTATATAAAAACTAATTTAAGTTTCTCATATTAACCATTTTTTTCTTTCTGTTTTTTTTTCCAGTAAGATATTTTTAACACACGTACACACTGGCTCAGACGTTGCCACGCCCACTTAACAGCCCAAGTTTTCCGGCCCAAGTTGAGTCTGGGGAGTCTCGGTGACTCCCACGTGATATCCTCTGGGCAACTTTCCTCTAAGAACTTGAATGCATGCCTAATGGCGGAAGCCTCACACCGCCAAAACAAGGACACACACATGGTTTCCTCACCCGGACGCTCTGCCGTACCCGTTTCCACTCCCACTACCGTTCCCGTAGCTATATACGCGTTTCCATACACGTACACAACGCGCTGAAGCGTAAAAATATTTGCGGGCTTTTGGGCTCGGCTCCGGATCTGGGATTTTCTCTGCTCTTTCGACCGCCGCATTTCAAATTAAGTTAATTTTTTCGTTGAACAAAATGGCTACAAATCTGTGTTTTATTTATAAGTAGCACTGACCGAGTGAGCAGACACATTATGGATGGCTGCGGGCCTCGGACTTGGGCACCCTGATGGGTCCTCGATGAACTTCGGTGACATTCAAATTGGGCAGTTAACGGAGATTGTGCAATTTGCGGGTCAATGCCAAGTGCCGATGGCAGTCCGAGTGCCCAGTGGATGGGGACTGAATGGCCATGTGAATGGGACCGATGGGATCGTTATACTTATGAGTGTCCTAATAGGGAATAACTTGAGAATATGGCAACGTTGCGTATGAGCAACATAGGCGCTGTCTGAGAGGCTGCATAATCAGACAGTGAAGATTAACTTATTGAGACAATTTTGTGAGGGGTAAATTTATTGTTTGCTACGATTAAAATATAAATTTGGTTTTATATTTAAAGGGTTATATGAATGTAATTGTAAATTTGTTACCTAGAACAATAAAATATATTTTTATCTAAGGAAAAAACTTAATTTTTGTGTAAACTATCTCATCTAAATAAATTTATTCCCTTTGGTAAATCGTTTAATTATTTTAATTAAAAATTTCAATTACATTAAGAACCACAAACATTTTATTAAATGCTCACTTTAACCTTCACTTAAATTTACAATTAATTTTAGGAATCACTGGCTCATTGAATTAGCCACAAACGATGGCCATTTATTATTATTATAATTTAATCAGCTTTTCAAATAACTGGAGCATAACATTTCGGTGGGAATAATGTTTGTGCCTTGTGGCCAAAAATAAATTAGTCGACAAAGCAATTAAATATTTTGCATGTGTGGCAGGCATAAATTATGCAGATGTATGTATTAATGAAAATATATTCCAGATTGTACATAAGAAATTTTTGCAAGCTGTAAGAGTGTGGCTTAGCCTCTTATATTTTGGTTTTAATTGCTGGCAATTAATTTCACACATCAATTGGCTGTGTAATTTTTAGAACATAGAATACATTAAAGTTTTATATGGTTTTTTTTTATAGGATTTTAACTCCTCACAAAAACCACTGCGGAGAGTAATTGCAGCCCTTGATATAGCCATTTAAAGGGAAACCTAATTCCCGTGTCCGTATTTTTGAAGCAGAACCAATAATTTGCCTTCTGCTCCCTCACGGTTGTCTCTGTGGTCATAAATAATTCAATTGAAAATATGTTAAAAATTCACAGTGAATTATTTACGCCGGAGACCGTGTACAGCGAGCACGGGTGTGCACTAATATATATGTATATACGTGCGAGTACGTACGGTCGTACTGCTACACCCGTTGGGCCCGCTGATAACCTCTAAGGGGTCTCGGGCCACATAAATGAAGCCATAAATTTGCCTTCACTCACATGCAGACCGAATACACAAATCACGGACACACACGCACGTCTGGCCCGGCCCGTTCCGGAGTCTCGCATTCTCAGTTGGCAAGTTTCATTGCATAACTCTGGGCGACTTTGTGGCCATGTTTCGCCCGGCAGTTGTTGCCGCGTGGTCAGCGGCAGATGCTGCTGCTGATGTTGCTGTTACTGCTGCAAATCAGTCAACATGGCAAATGATTACCCATGCCAAAAGGGACACAAGAGTGTCGATAAGCAGACGACAGGACCGCGTCACATGTGGCGTATGATTAATGCGTCTGCAACGCGCTTAATGCTTTTAAATACGCATAAATGATTGCCATTGCCAATGCGGCCTGTTGCCGTCCTTATCCGTGTCCTGTTAATGCAACTGAAATTGTATTACCCGCAATCGGGGCCAAGACTCTCGTCAAGCCATTTATTTGATTAAGTGCGGACGACCCATGGCACTCAGCGAATGCATTACCATTGTGTGCTGCAGCTGCAAATCAAGATATATGTTTGGATTTCAGAAACTCGAAATAAGATTGGATAATGCTGGCTAATAAATTAAATTCGTGTTTAACGAATGCTTAAAGATGGAAAATTCACCAACCCAATAAGATGTAATTTATGTGGCGAACGGTAATATAAAAAGAGTTTTATAAAATATGTTTATCAAGATAAAAACCCCAAAGATTCTAATTAATGTTTGATTAAGAGATAAGATTGAGTCAGCAATGTTTAATTTAAATTTTAGGTGAAATTTAAACAGTTTATTGTCACCGAAATTAATTAAAATTACTTAAATATAAATTATCATTTACTTATTTTATTATTTCACAAACTCAGTAAGACATTGATTTATTTCTGTAGTCATTATATACAGAAGAATAAGAATACCAAAAATGGCAAGAAAATATTAAAGTGATATTTAATTTACCATTTTATTTAGGCTGGAGATTTGCTTCTAGTATAACAAATGATATTTATTTAGATTTTGGTAAACACTTTCCCATTTTACTTGTCAATGCTCAATTTTACTGTACATTCTCAACTGCCACACAGCTTTAGCTTGGAGTGTACCCGCATAGGGCATTACTTACCCAATTAAATAAGTCAATAGGATGGCCCAGCCGCAGTTCGCTTGACTGGACTCGATTTGCGGGGTACACAAGATTTTGGCTTTGTGTGTGCTTAACTTATTAGCTAATTAGTTAAATATTTGCGGGCTAATCACACAGTTAATATTCACTCCTAAATTATCGCATAAGCCCTGTATCAAGTGGCCGGGGACACACAAGCGAACTTCCATTTGATTTGCTCGAGCGTCTGTGATTGATGCGCTAATTGAACATTTAGTCGCAAAGGCAAGGCAAATATTGATTTTATTGACACATATATCTGGCTCAACGGGCCGGGCCGCCAACAACAACGCTTCGTAAAAGTTTGTGTAAAGTTTCTTTGTTGTTGTTAAGCTTGTTTCGCTTTATTTATTTATTTTACTCAGTGGCACCGCACTTTTTCCTCTTTGACCGAGCGAGCGAGAGGGACTGAGGCTCGTCCTTTCCGCGTATCCCCACGAAATTGCCCCAATATGTACGCGTATCTGTGTGCGTGCGCTGGTGTGTGTTGGCCAAAGCGCTTGGCCATTAAACCAATTTTCAGGCAAACAAAAAGCGCCGAAAAGAGAAGGCGGCCAAAAGAAAGCAACAAACGCCAAAAGCAAGAACTGGAATTTTTTGTTAGCACGGCTAAAAAGGGTAGCGTAAAGTTGTTCGATTTTCGATCTAAAAAAATACTATACATCAACGTCAAAGAGGTCTAGCAATTAACATGATTCTTACTTAACTTTGTCAAATATTTCATTATCGATCTCAAGAACTTTTGTGCCAATGTCTTAAATATAAAATTAATAGTTGTAAAATCGTAAATTCTGTTTTTAAAATTGCAAATAAGGTAACCCCGTGTTCTGGACACATATTTTGTTTATTTACAGACTAGGTTCGTTTTAAAAGTTGACAAAAAAAATGGCGCTTTCTTTTGTTCTTGTAGGACTTCCTTTTCTACTCGAAAGGGTGACCCTTTTTAATTGCTCAAACATTTAGGCAGTTTCACTCCTTTTTCCAAGAGAAGCGGCCTCGACCAATAAAAGTAAAACGAGACGCATAGCTTAAATTAGTTTAGTTTGAAAAGGGACACCTAAAGGGGGGGGTGGGCAGGTGCTGGAGAGGGTTGGAATAGAAAACCCTGTCATTTCCTTAAGCGGCTTTCGGGCCTTTGTCCTGTTAATTGCCTTTGATTGCCGGTCCAGCGATATCTTAGGCAATTAATTCTCCTTCGATATTCATTCCGGATCTCCCCTTCTGCGTTGTATCTTAATTAAGA